GCTGAGTGTTGGGGTGTAACCACAAGCATTGCAGTGTGGGAGGTAAGGATATATACCCATTGCTCTGCCTGCACTAAGAATACAATATTCAGTGTTCTAATGGAAAAGCTTAATCCTCGTTATTGTTTTAATTGTAAATGCAGGCTGTATTGGGGAAAGCAGTTATAGTGATTTAAAGGGACATGCCAGATACAGAGGGACTGGGTAATTTAAGTGCTTGGATTGGCCAAGTTTTTTCATATTGCATCATTTATCTTTAAAATGGACCGTTATTTGTTATTTAGGGTTAGTGAATTTAGGGTCAGTGTTGGTACAGGTTCTTGACAATATCATTTTTTTTATTTTTTTTTATTTTTTTTATCGAAAGGAGCTTAAAAGTAAATACAAAAATTGCCTACTTTCATTTTCATATGTTTTGATCACCATGGTAATGTCCGCTGGTATGAATCACCATTTTACCACCTTCAGCTGCTTCTATGTAAAATTGCAGTGTTGCCATGGAAACATACCAATTCACAAAGCAATATTGCATGCACTTGAGCTGTCCGAGAGATATATAATGATTCACATTTTAAGAAAGGCAAATCTAATCTTGATCTCTAAGTAAGTTCTTTAAGGGATTTAATTTTTGTGATTTTAAGGGTAGATAATCACATCATTTGTACATTGTGCTCTCAAAATCGTCAGCAATTCTATAGATTAAAACAGGGCTTGACAAATTAAAAGCAACTTTTAGGAGCTAGCCAAGATGTCCATAAATTCTTCAGTATTAGATATGTATCTGCTGTGATAAATACTCACAATTACACACATACATGCCTAAGCCCTAAACTCACAAATACAACTAGTTCCTCCTGTATACGTACATACTCGTACACACAACCACATAATTAACCTCTCCCACACACACACACACACACACACACACTTAAACCCCTACATGCCTAAACAAACACATAAAGATCCTCATATAGAAATACAGATACACAATTTACCGCATTTACACACTTACACAGCTACTATTAGATCTCCTACACCGATACCTAGATGTGCACTCTTGCATATACATGAAGACAAACACTCTCATAAACACACTTGAGACATATTAATTTGTCTCTCCTGCCCTCACCACTGTAGACCGTGAATACAGTGAGTAGATTGGGAGATTCAGCATT